GCAAGTGAAGTTCATTTGTTAAGCTGACTGATGCAGCGTTGCTCCTCTGACCCAGACGGACTGCTCTAGATGAAGACAAAAGGGTTTAGGGTCACTGCGCCTGTTTCAGGAGCTAGAAGCGAGAACGCAGTAGGATTTAGTCTTATTTCCTGATATTTGGACATCTTGTCTCTGATTGGCAAACGGCAACGTGACTCTACCACTGACTCCACTTGCTCTGCAATGTTGATGTTTCACCTCCAAAAATAACTCAAACCTGGAGGAGTTCTTCTGTGTGGTGGAGGCGCTAACGCTAACGGTTAGCTTCTACCAGCCGAGGCATTCTCTGCTGTATCCTGGAAGCTACCCCCTCCCCCCGAAAAACTCAGAGTGACTGATCATAATCAGACATTATCATTCCAAATGGGTTTTCGATGAAGTACCTTTAAAAAAAACATGTCAGATATTTAAACTAACGTTTAAATGATTAGAATAAAAATTGTGCAGCATTTAAAGAGCAAGTCACCCCCTACCAGAGTCTTAAGCCTACAGCACGCCTGAGGCAGCCCATAGTTGATGAGAGTGGGTACACGGGAAAAGTCGCGCCGTGTCCCAGAAGCTCCGCACCGAGGCGCTGAAGATGGGCACCAGTTCTGTCTTGAGCCACAATGAGATAGAACTGTTGCGGCGGCTGTTTACAACATTGTGGAGTACTTTACAAAAGACATTACAACGCAGAACAGCTTTACTTTAAAGTACTATTGATTTTAAAAATTCAAAACCCATTTTTAGTGAATTTGAGCCTCACAAACACGACGGCAAGTCTGATCACGAATAAATAATCGTCACTTCCCGCCTCCTGTTCCCAAGTCCCATGTGATGCTGTGACTATCGTGCGACTTTCCAAGAAGCGTGTGTGTGTCCTGTGTGACCACTTGACTGCTCAAAATCGTGGGCGCGGCGCTTCTGCCTCCGGTGTACTCCAGGCTTTACTCCGCTCCCACTTCCTGTTTGAAAAATGCAACGTACGCTGTTGCCTGGCAGACCGAGAGCGCGGAAACGCTAATATTACACACACACACACACACACGCACGCACGCACGCACGCACACACACACACACACACACACACACACACACACACACACACATTGTGATATCATAATGTACCAGCTAACATCATAGGGTACATATTAACCAATAGCAGATGGCAGATTTTAATTCAAAGCAATGCAGAGTTTTTACCTGAAGAGGGCGCAACACTGACAGTTTTAGGCAGAATATTTCAATTTTAACTAAAGCTGGACGGACACTGTGTGACTTTTTCACTCGTAGCACTCAGCTTCAGCTCAAACTGTGCAACTTCCTCGCAGGGCAGATCTCACGAGTCATGTGCTCACACTGTACGTCTGGTAGCAACACGTCGGCCCTAAAAATATGCTAAAAATAGCAGTTTTTACACAACACGTCAGACTTTTTTGTTTTGCCTGTTGTCCTTCGGGAGTGCTGCAGGAGGACACACAGGGATTTATGGGGATTGGATGAGGAAAACAAAATAAAGAAAGTAAATCTGTGTTTTGTGATCAGTTTAATTTGACACGAACACGACAAACACGCTTTCTTGACAATCTTTGTGAGTAAAAAAACGTGTAGAAATAAAAACGAACAACGTGTGTTATTAGGGAAATAGCGGGCGAGCGGTGTTGATGCATGATTGCGCATGTGCCGTGAGCAGTTCTGGTACTTTTTGGGTCGCAGCTACTCGCAGCGCCACTTCAACAGTGCGATACCCTCACGAGGGACGAGCAAAATGTCAGACGCGCCAGAAGTCCGTGCGAACTCACAATTGCTGATCGGTAGCTGGTCACATGGTGTTAATCGCCTCTCGTAACCCCCTGTACACTACACGACGCTCAGCGCAAAACTCGCCCCGATCTCGTGGATTCTTGCACGAGTGGAAAATCGGCTCAAAAAAGTGAAAAAGTCGCACAGTGTACGCCCGGCTTAAGATGCTCTAAAGTGCCAAATTATTGACTACATGTGTGTACAGCAAGATTAGACACTCATTTATGTAGTTTATCAGCAAAAAAATATTAGATTTGGGTGTGACTTGCTCTTTAAAGCTACAAACATTTAGGCTGTTTTATGTTTTAAGTTCTACACATTCAGATCTTACCGTCCCCAAACTGTTAGGATCTTTCTTAGTGAGCTTGTTTCTCTAATACTTCAACATGTACTTTTTTTAGTCATGTTTAAAGGGACTTTACGGAGTTTTGAATTGTTATGCTCGCGATTGCCCCTCAGGCCAAAAGCGTAACAGCAGCTTCAATAGTAGACTCGTGCACGAGGCACGCATGCTGTACGTGCACACTCCTTGACGAAAATAACAGCTGAGACAGTCCCGTGTGTGTGTGTGTGTGTGTGTGTGTGTGTGTGTGTGTGTGTGTGTGTGTGTGTGTGTGTGTGTGTGTGTGTGGCCCGGAGGACAGAGGACAGGAGAACGCACAGCTAATTAATTAAATAATTTGGTTCTGTAGCTTTCTCTTCAGCACAGCCGACAAAGGTTTATGATGGGTCAGTCCTCCTGCATGCTCAGATCATTCCCTTCCCTTGCTTGAAAAATTGTTCCAAAATGAAAGTTGAACCCACATCTTTTTTATCTGTGAATTCAATGCCGTTCGGCGAGTCTCAAATAAAAATTTGGGCATCTTACTGTAAAAAATATACCATTAATGTAAAAAAGAAACTCTAAAACAACTATGTTCACATCCAGAATCGAACCCAGGTCTTCTGCACGAAAGCCTGATGTCTTACTAGGTGAGCTAAAGCGCCAGTGACGTCTTCTGTATCTGTAACTTTTATATCCTTGATGACAGCTGAAACAACGTTCAAAGAACGGTTCGGAGGGCGATGCCTGAGCGTGAACGCGCATGAAGCAGCCTGCTTGACCCGAGCATCTCTCTTTTTCTGTGATTTTACAGAAAAACAGGCAATCACAGTAAAAATGCCAGGGCTCATTCTACAGGACCAGGGCATTGCAGGAGAATGTATGAAGAAGACATTTATTATTTCTATACATGTTTTGGCTGTCAAACTTCCATAATGTCCCTTTAACTTTAGATTTTCAATATTTCTGAAGTGCTTTATGATATGTGGAATGTACATATTTTACTAAATCAAGTAAAAACTCCTCAATTTCATTAAAAAGGGTTTCACAGAATGTCTAAACACATGTAAACCCTGTGATGCTTTAAAGTGTAAATATGCTTCCTACATCGGAATTAGGAGCCTTTTTTTAACCGACTCATGATGACGTGACTGCATTTTGAGTGTGAGGGGCTAAAGCTGTCCTGCCTGGTCCAGATCTGTCACCGACTGAAAACTTCAGTGCACTTGGAAAGCAAAAACATCACAAAAGATATTCTGAAGTTTGGTTAAAATCCAACAACGAAGAAGAATCTTTACAACCAAACGTCGTAAAATCAGTATCAAAACAAAGTGATGAACTATGAGGGGAATGATGTCCCTGATGGTGACACAAAACGATCTAAAGTTAAAAGAGCAACAAGAACATCTGTCTGTCATGATTCATCTCCTGTTCTCCTTCCAGATTTCTTTACCTAGTTTACTTTACCTCTGAGCTTGTAAAGATGGTCTCCACTGTACTTGACAGCAGGAATAAACCATCTCCTTATTTTATTTATTAGCTGGTGTTTTATTCATATGTTTCTATTTATTCTATTGATTTACAGCTAAGGCTCCTTTGCTGGCTGTACTCCCACTTTAGCAGCAGTGTGAACACAATATCGAATGTACTGTAGAGCATAACAGCAGTGTGTGTCTGTGTGTGTGTGTGTGTGTGTGTGTGTGTGTGTGTGTGTGTGTGTGTGTGTGTGTGTGTGTGTGTGTGTGTGTGTGTGTGTGTGTCTGTGAGGAATCATTTCTGTGTTGTTTAGTTTACAGCCAGAATCCTGGTGAGAAATTATGGAAATGACCAGCGTACCTCCCATTTGATCAGAAAAAACCGAGTTTAGAGAAACCCTCACAGGTACTCGTGTGTTTTCAGCGTCACACACCTTTGAGGCTCACAGATTTATTCATGCTACACCTCGACTGATTCAAAAATGCATTGATTATCTGATATTTGGAGGTACATCAGACTGGATTTATTTGGTTCACCTGTGGGAATGTTGGAACTGAAAATGGTTTGTCCGTGTGGGAGATGAGGACTGGTGTGTGTGTGTGTGTGTGTGTGTGTGTGTGTGTTAGGCTCCGTTATCAGATAATTGTCGACGTCGTCGTCTTCCTCCGCTTATCCGGGTCTGGGTCGCGGGGGCAGCATCCCAACTAGGGAGCTCCAGACTGTCCTCTCCCCGGCCACCTCCACCAGCTCCTCCGGCAGGAGTCCAAGGCGTTCCCGGACCAGATTGGAGATGTAATCTCTCCAACGTGAGAAATTCTCTCCATAAAGGTAATGAACAGAACCGGTGACAAAGGGCAGCCCTGGCGGAGTCCAACCCTCACCGGGAACAGGTCCGACTTACTACCGGCTATGCGGACCAAACTCACGCTCCTCTGGTAAAGGGACTGAATGGCCCTTAACAGAAGCCACCCACCCCATACTCCTGGAGCGTCCCCCACAGGGTGCCCCTGGGGACACGGTCATAAGCCTTCTCCAAATCCACAAAACACATGTGGATTGGTTGGGCAAACTCCCATGCCCCCTCCATCACCCTCGCAAGGGTATAGAGCTGGTCCACAGTTCCAAAGTCAGGACGAAAACCACATTGCTCCTCCTCAATCTGAGATTCAACCATCGATCGGACCCTCCTCTCTAGTACCTTGGAGTAGACCTTTCCAGGGAGGCTGAGGAGTGTGATCCCTCTATAGTTGGAACACACCCTCAGGTCACCCTTCTTAAAGATGTGGACCACCACCCCGGTCTGCCACTCCACAGGAACTGCCCCCGATGACCACGCAATGTTGCAGAGACGTGTCAACCACGACAGCCCTACAGCATC